CACAGCCAAAAGGCTCATGATTTACCATGTAGTTCATTGGGCTGGGCCCTACCAGTCAAGATTTCAAGCCATGGTAACCTCACAGCTCAGCACTGTTTGGTATGTGTGTACTCAATACCCACTACAGGATTCATGTGCTAATTAGCCCCAATTCATAATTGGAACTGGGTGTTCTTGTCACGAGTCCTGGAATCCTCCAAAAATTCATATGCAGATGAGACACAGGGCAAAATGGTCCAACTCCACCTCATGGAGGGTAGGTCTACACTAATCATGTGACAGGCTGAGAGAGGGGGGGTGACAGAAGGATTCTGGATGAATGGTTTGGGGTACCATTTGGTGATGTCTTCCAGATATTTAAGGCTGGTGAGTAAACATGGATCATTGGACATGGGAAAGAAAGGCACAGCTCAGCTATGGGAATGAAGAGGAAGTCAAAATGTATGTGATGTACTGGCTCTCCATGACTTACGAGTTGGTGCTGGGGGGAACTGTGCTCAATGGGCACTACCACATATCTTATTCAGATGGGCTGCATTAACTAGGGATGTGAAAAGTTAAATGGTAAGTATATTTATACCATTAATGCATTTCAGTTAACATTTAGCGTTGGACACTGTCCAGTGGGAAAGGGAAGCAGTGCGATGCCCTAAGAAGGCAGATAACGTGCGACTCTATCTCTGCTTCCCCCCTCAGCATGCTGCTGACTTGGGAGGGAGGGTGGTAGGACTAGTTGAGCATATGGCTCTGCCTCCACCTTCCTCTCCCTGCAGCATGCCATAAGTTAAAGACGTAGCAGTCAAAAAGAAGCCACACTCTATGGGCACTATCCTAGGAGAGAGCCAGGGGGTGCCCGGCACCACTTTGTGGGAAATTCTTCAAGGGATTGGGGAGGGGCATAGGGGACCTGGCCCACACACACTGGGCAGTGTGGAACATGCTTTAACCAATTTAACTAGTATCATTACAGTTTAAACAGGTAATTATTTAAACAGTATTTACATCCCTAGGAATAACCTATCCTTGTGGTAGGTTACTGACAGAATGTTTGCCCAGTACGGGCCACATGTTTTATAGCCGTGTTTTCGGTGGCTGTATTCAATCAATTTCATAGTTACTTGCCATCACTGAACATGCTGCTTTTGACAGCAGTTTAATGATGGACAGTATATTCAATGAGGCTTCCTTGTATGCAAATATGAGGAGAGGCTTTTTTCCCCCTGATGATTGGGGTAAAAAAACCAAAAAACTTCATCTTCTATTTACAAGTAAATACAGTATTTAAGAACTATTGAACATAGCAGCTTATTGCAATAAAATGCAATTTAAAAGGTTGAAATTAAAAGCCATTTTAATTCATGTAGTGTTGATGCTACTCTACTACACATGACTCATTTCTACTAATTAGTTATCCACATGCAGTGGGTAAGGGTAACTACTAACCTTGATTTACAATTAGGTTGACTTTCAAATAAAAGTGATACACTTCATTGCTGGTTCACTGGAGATAAAATGAAAGCTTGTGCTTTCACTTCTAAACCTTGTATTTCAGAATGCAGCTGGCTTTCATCACCCTCCCCAAATCAAGAGAATATAATTTTAATGAGTTTAGAGTTGAAATGTAACCACTAATCATCCATGGCATTTGCAGTTAACTGCTGCTACAAAGCTGGTTCAAAGGCACAGCTCAAGTTTATCTTAAGATTTTTCCAACTTTGTAGTAAGAAGCACAACCTGCAACAAGATAGTCATTAACACTAAGGAACTAATCATAGAATACTTCAATCCAACCCCACTGAATCTCACCCTCCTCCTAGCTACAACCCACCATGCAAGTATAATTGTACTCTGATCCTTAAATAAAAGCATCAGATTATTTCTTATACACTGATATCATTGCTTTTACAAGCAACTTAATAGCTAGACAGGGAATTAAGAGCACATTGCTCATATTGTATACTATTCCAATAAAATGAGGGGTTGTCTTTTGAGTGAATGTAACTAAAAGCATCAATTGCCAAGATGTTCTGAACTGTAGGAAAATACGCAAGTACACAACTGCTTTAAACCTCAGTCTTGCCTTTGCAATCCTTAAAACTAAAACCCTGTCTTAAAAACTAATTATGAAATGTACTTTATTCAAAATCCAGCCACAGACAATGCCCATTTATCTAAAGTGAAATGGGAAGGAAGAGTGGGAATATACTCTTAAATAATAGAAATTCTCTCTTTAAAAACAAGTAGGTTAAACCTGGCAAAATCTGGAACAAATGCATGGCCTCAAACCATGGATTTAGGTTTAACCCTAAACTGAAATCCCAGCTAACTGAAGTAACATTGTGGCTTGGGGTGAACTGTCCTGCAGCTCCTCCAAAACTCTGGTTACTTGAAAATTGTGAATGCCCAGAAATGCTGTAATAAATGCTATTACACAGGATTCAGAAAATGAAATTCAAGCCTTAACCCTTTTTCAGATTCCTCTCTCCCTAGGAGGATTGAACAAAGGCTTTGATATATACTTGAAAGATTTTTTGACTTTGAAGAGTTGAGGTTTATTCAATTCCTGTGCACCTTTGCATTTTCTATTTTGAGACTTGACCAGAAAATGGAAGCACCAAAACACACCATAAGGAAACTTATCTTGACTGCATTTCTCAGTCTCCCCGAAATTAGAAAGTTCTATAAATCTCAGGAGGAGACTAGAGCTCCCATGATATCTCCAGGACAGCCTTCAGAATAAAGATGCTCAGATAAACCTGGAGGCATTTTACCTGCGAATTTAAACCTTTGAATGTTTTTCTGAATCAAACCTGACAGCATCTTCATTCACTTGGGGTTCTTTATGGTTTGGATTTCCAAGAGCATTCAACATTTGAACCACATTAATGGCAGTTAAGTCTCTTCAACTCTAATCTGTCTTCATTTTCCAGTGCAGGATTGTCCCTTAAAGTAAATTAGACACCTTACATAGTTCCTCTTTACATACTCACTCAGATTGATCATATTTTCCAATTTCTCCAGTCCTGGTGTTTGCGCATTTACTAACTTTTCTAGAAAGATGATGTTGAACCATATTAATTTTAAGGCACAAACTATGAATGGACACTCCATTTTTAAAATAGAGGAACTGCTGTGCCTGTATCACTCGGGACTCTTTGGAGGTAGTGGTATGCTTGAATAAAGGTATATCAAGTAAAAGGAATATCAAGTATGATACAACTAAGAGACAGCTTAAAAGCAAAACCATCACAGTGCAACAGATCTCTGTCGAAATCTCCTCTGATGAAGTTCTCTGGGAGTCACAGTGCTCATAAATAGGATTATTGTCAATATAACATGTAAAATTTGAGGTTTTGCTAAGTTGATATGTACTTTCTTTAGCTTAGATGAACTACAAAAAAATAATTTCATGTCAGGATTCTCAAGTCTACCATGTAGATCTGGAACTTTTGTCTAAAATATATTACTAGAAAATATTATTCAACTGTGCACATAAGTTATACCTATGGGTCAGATCAACAAAACTACTGAACACAGACAGAATCTGCTCTTCACAGCATGTGAAAAAACCCTGCTAAACTGTACTCATCTATACTCATGACAGAACTCCAGGTTGTGGAGTATATACCTGCAGGCCCAAGCAAAATGCTTAAACCTCAGAGAGTTCCTTCCAAGGCACTCAGCTCTTTCAATACATTTCTATAAAAGGAATCTAAATGCTTCACTCAAGCCTTTTTAGTTAACCTCATGGGCCAGAGGTCTAGGAGTGCTAGAAAACTTAACTTTTAGACAACTGAGTCCTTCATTAGAGAAAGTCTTATATCTAGAATCACTAGTAGGAATGGTAGAAAGAGCCTATTAATAAACCAATTTCTCTTTGAATTCCAGTGTCATTATTTTTTTTTGCCTTTTCTTTCTCCTCTTCTGATCCTGCCCAATGACATATCAAGTGATATCATTAAAATAAGGAGAGATGGTTTGGAGAAGTTCCACGAGAGACAGAAAATGCATCCTGGAAGTAGTCTTGAGATATAGTTGGAAAACCGACTTTGCAGCTGGTGTGAGGCTCTCAGCAGTTTACTGTAGGACATGAGGTAATCTTATGGTGGTGGGAAAACTCTCTCAAAAGGCATTTTCTAAAGTACTTAAGTACCTAAGTCTCTCTTGGAAATGGCACTCTGTAGTCACTGAGGAGCTTCTGAGTTTTGTCTGCATTGTCACAACTATGCCCTATGAAGGACTTGTTGGCTACAAACTCTGGTTCCCAAGAAAAATAAACTAACTGGTGGTTATAAAACAGCATTCAGAACACGCAGGGATCAGTAAAGCCAACAGTTCTTTTTTTTTCCTTTTTCCACAGGATGCTCCAATGTGCAATTTATGGCAATATTTAGACAAGGAATGAAATAATAGGAAGCAAAAGTGTCAGTTTTGATAAGTAACTGAAGAAAAGTTAAACAGCAAAGCGTTAATATTTATTATAATTAGAAACTGCCAAAACACTAAAAAAAAAATATGACAATGGTTAAGTGCTAGAACTGCTTATACTCAGTTCTGTTATTATTATCCATGATGGGTATGACTTTAAAATTCCATCATGGCTTGCTTTGTATGCACAAAGAGATTGTTCAAACATTTTTACTGGTACAGAATTAAAACTTTTTCTAATATTCTATAAAGACAACAGTATTCCAAGAGGCTTTTCAAAGCACAATGGTTGCAGAGGCAGACAACATCCCTGATGTGTGAAGTACTGGACTGAGGCTTTTATTTTACTGAGTTTTTCGAGACACCAAAGCACTTGCTTAGTTGTGTTTTGATTTGTTACAAAGGCTGTAGCATTTTGAAGGTAATCAAATATAAAATTGCTGTCACCTTTCTCCATCACAAATCTCAAAATTATTGAACAATAATAAAAGGCAAAAAAGGTTGTTTTAATTTCTCAGTAGGATAGTGTGTGTGAGAGAGAGAGAGAGAGAGAGAGAGAGAGCGAGACCTTATTCAAATCATTGCATGGTTTTAATATCAAATCCACAAATGTCTTAACAACTGAATCACACAAGAAATAAGAGCGTACCTTTAATTTAATACGTGCACTGCATTAGTGTGGCAGATACATAACCAGCAGCCTTCTTTCTGCACAGTCAAATTACTATGAAACAGGTTTTTAAGTATTTTATCACATTTTTAGGTGGAAGCAGCAGTTAGTGCAAAGAATAAGAAAAACCCACGTCAACTATTTCTCAGAAATCTATTTGAATACTGTGCAGTGAGGCACCTGTCTGTATCCCAACTGGCTTTAAATGTAAGTTTTATTCAGCTACTGCAGGTTTCATCTGGAAATTCTCACAACATAAACATGGTGAGGTTTTAAAAAAAGAAAAAGTTATACTACAGCAACAAATAAAAAAAGAATGACAGTGCTTACACATTTCCTCTATTCAGCAAGTAGAAAAGAAAAAAAAATTACCTTGTTCAGCGTTCGCCAATTTTTTTTAAACTACATCATTTTAAACAGACACTACATAAAAGGTTTCAAATCAAAATAGGTACCGCCCCCCCTTCACTATATCAAATGTATTAATAAACAACCCCACCCCCCCGCTCCCCCCCAAACTGGAAGGAAGCTGTACATACTGACCAGCTTTCTAAATGACCCTTTTACTTCCCTACCACTCACCCACCCACGAGCGATCTCATTCACTGAACATTTCAGGGACTGACTTCACAAACATCCCTCCACCCTCAAACAGCTCTTATTTTTCATCCATGGAGCCTTGTGTATCCGTGAAAAGTAAAGCACTAGTGTTGGTGCTGTAGACCAAATACGTTAAATTTCTGGTCCATTTTGTGGACTGGAATGTCACAGCAAATCCAGGCACCAAATATATATCCATGTGCCACCTTGCGCACCAATCTTGCAAATGCATGCACAGATACAAGCTTAACAGTATTTCCATGAGTAATCACAATTAAATCAATGGGACTATTCATGCATGTAAAGTTAAGGAGACATACATTTTGCAGGATCAGAGCCTTGGCTTGTGCTCCGTTTGACTGGACTGACTTCATCACTGAGTTACAGTTGCTCTATTTTTTAAAGAAGTCAGGGTTGCACAGGCTCTTAGTCATGGATTAATTTTGTTCCAGGTATATATAAAATAAATATATTGACTGCAATTATTTGAAACAGTTAAATTAAAAAGGGGGAATATTCCATTTAGGTCTCCAAATTAAAAGTAGTCTCTAGCAATGTAATCATAATTACAAAAATAATTATGCACCAAGTAAAAGAGAAAAGCAGATTTTTTGCAAGTAAAACTTTGCAAGTAACATCTAACACCATTTTGGAATTCTGTTTGGGTCTGAGAGATGACTTAATAAAAATATTTCTCATTTATTTAAGGGTAAGAATCTGAAACCTGATTTTTTTGGACAATCTTGTTATTAATATAAGGAAAGCCCACCACTGTCTCAAAATACAGGACATGGAGATAAAACGGTTTAAAAAAAATAAAAATATAATTTTGGTCCAAAGCGTGAAATATTCAGGGAAGGATAGTGCATTTTTTTATTCTCTCTCTTGGAAATGTACAGAAGAGTTATTCTTCTTACCTCCTATGTATTGGGCTCTTTTTAAAGATCAACTAGGATCAATGTTATGAAGTTGGTAAATAGCAAGTTTTTACAAAAATAAATTTTCTGACAACATGAAAACAGCTGAAGGAAGAAATGTTTACATTTCTAAACAAAACAAAAGCAATGAGATCTTGCTTCCCGCTGGAATTCTGACTTGCAGGTAGATACAACGTACAGTCCTAATTCTGAATTAGAGTCAATGGGAACTAATGCAGCCATTTGATCAGAGCTCATCGTAGGGAAGTAAACATATTTGCTTCTAAACATGCACAAATATATATATGTGCATTGTACTATACGTGTGTGTATGTGTGTTCACACACAATATAGGGGCACCATCTATATAGGTATACAATGATCTAAATAATGTTCTGTCTCGTTTTCAAAAGGGAAAACAAGACAGAACATTATTTAAATCATTGTATACCTATATAAATGGTGCACCTATATTGTACACACACAATTCCTCTGCAAGGAATTGAAATGTGTGTGTGTGTGTGTGTGTGTGTGTGTGTGTGTGTGTGTGTGTGTGTACACAATGATCTAAATAATTTTTCCAGTCTTTATTAACACAGTATTAGCCCATAACTATATACAAAGTCTTTCTAAGGAAAGCCCTCATTACACTTCTCACATAAAGGCAAGAATGAAAACCTGCTTTAATTTTCAAAATCGATGGTGCTGAAAGTGCTTCTATAACCTATTGTTAACCTACATTAAAATCCAAGTAATAAATGTGACAGCAGCTAAATAATTTCAAGTGGCAACAGGTCAAATCCGCTGCTGGAAGGACTACAGCAGGAGCAAACAAACAAACCTAAACTTCATTCCTTCCCTTTATAACCAAGGACACAGGGTATTTTGATCTAAGCCCTTCAGAATTACTGTATTGGAAGCACTGTGATGTTCACTTAAAAAACAAAAACATAACCAGCAACCCTCTCTCCAATAAAAGCATTGTAGCTTCTAAGTAAGTATCTGGAGGGGAAAAAGATAAAACCAAACAAAAACTACATGGACCACCCTCAGGGATGAAATGCTAAAGATGTTGTTTTTAATCAGTTTGTGAAGATCTACAAAAAATAAAAAGGATCACATTCTAAAGGTTCAGTGCATTCAGCAGCTATAGACTTGCTGCTAACTCATCTTTAAGTTGACTTTCAAAAATAACACCCTAGCTCATCAAAATATACATTTTCCATTTGCTTTTAAATTAAAATAATAATAAAAAACATTTAAAGAATTCACAATCAATAGCATGACTAAGTTTCAGAATCATCTACAGCATATAATTTAAAGGTTCAAGATGCCAATATGCAACACATGGCAAGCCTATATGCTCCATGCAGCATGTACACTTAGGAAATCTTGAGCTTCAAATTTCAGTTCTCTTCTTCCAAACGGTATAGAACACCCATCTGAATAAATCAGTTAAGGAATAAAGCAAAGTGGGTCATACTTTGACAAAGTAACACTTTTAAAACTGGTGAGAAGTCTGCCAATAGTCTGTTTACGGCATCTTAAAAAGACAGGGTGGGCAAAATCCTACACTCACTGCCATAATCCAAAATGTAGGATTTCTTTCTTACACTCAGACCTGGTCCAGATCCACAGAGGTATTGTGGCATCTAACTCCCGTTGAAACTAACAGGAAGTATGTGCTATATAGAAATTAGGATTCTAAATATCTTTGAAGATGTCAGTCTTACCACTGTACAGTATCTGCCTTGTTCTCTCATAACCATGTTGTACATTGGACTGCAATCAGGCTGAACAGGATGTTGCACTAAAGGGGAAGATCCTTCTTTTCCCTCTGAAGGAAAAATGACTCCAATATAACAGAATCAATGAACTCCAATTGCTCAGAGGATCTGAAGAAACCACTCAGCTTTTGAACAGCACAAAGGGCTGATCTGCCTAGATTTCCCATTTTCTGTTATTCATGAAGTACAAGTAAGATTAGACTCAATTCTGTGGAATAGGACACAGCAAGGGGACATAAAGACTTCTGTAGGTTTTAAGATTGCAGTAACAGAGAGAGCAAAACCAAGTTCCAGGATTTGGAGTTTACTCTATGGAAAGTAGTTTCACATAGATGTATGCACTTAAGTTTATAAATCGATTTCACACATGCTCTAGATGGCAGCCTACGTCATCGTTCTAGGTCTCTGCAAGGAATTGAAATGACATACTGTCCATAAAATAAATTATTAGCGTCTATATCAACAAATGCCTACATTTTAGAAGTCCTCTTTTGACAATACAGTCAGCATGAGCATTCTCTAGTTTGTATAGGTTTGCAAAAATTGTGGAAGCAAGCAGGGGAGAGAATAAAAAGGTGAATATTTTGACTGCATTGAGATAGTCTGGCAGAATAGTCAGCTGATGAGTATCTGCATGCATACAGAGAAAAAACAACCCATAACAGCAAAAGGTTTGAGCAGGAGGAGAAGGTATCAACCTATTTCAAAATACTCAAGGAGAAATGGAATCAAGTCTTGAGGCCACCCATACAGCACACAAAAAGCACCCTGGTTTCCCTGTTAATAATTTGTCATGCAACTGTAAAATGTTGTCAAAAGATCAGTCATCTATAAACAGAGCTCAGATGGAATCTCCTTCCCTTTCTGATGTGAGCTTCCTACTTGGAAACCTTACTAATTAACATCCCACGTATCCTGCATATACACCAAAAAGCAAAGACAAAATTAAAAAAAGAACAAAATAAGTATTTTGCTGAGCACACCTTGCTTGGTAGGGGCCAGTCTGAAGTCAGTGTGACTTGTTTCCTGCCTTGGGATTCTTGTACATATAGCATAGTCATTTCATATCACCAGTGAAGAAGGCAAAATGCACTAAAACAAGTATTATTTGTGTAAAGGCTTCTGCATTGGCAGCCAAATTATGCCTGCTTCATAGCCCAAAACAGCAGAATTTATCACTTAAATGGACCTTCCAAAAGACTGATACAGCCATAGTTCTCTTGAAGTATTTTGCATACAACTGTGCTAATGGTGCTATAACTACTTAAAATGTGTAACATTTAGCATTAAATTAAAAATCTTATTTTGTTTGAGTCAAGCATTTCTGTCCCTTTAAAATACATCCATAAATTGGGGAATAGATGGATCCCCAATCATCATTCTGTCTAAACTTATTTTTTACAGTATATAAACAGCTGTATTAATATTTTTGGAAGGAACAAGGGATCCAGTTGGGAAAGAAGTGTCCCATGGATGTCAATGTGAGCTATGAGGTCATGGCACCTTAAAAAAAAATGCCTCTATATTTTCATAATTTATATTGATTTTATAGTGAACGAATCACATGTTTAAATTACTGCATTAAACCCAACTTATCGACCACAGGAGTAACCTACTATTCAGTTTACTTCAACACCGAAAAATACCTAAGCTTATTTGGTTTATGAACCTAGCAGGAGCAATCTTTTACATTTTTCAAGGATACAACTCCATGTATGAGGGAACACACACAACCTCCTTTGAGAACTCCACAGGACAATAAAGCTTGCCAAGTTGTTCTTCATAGAGGGTCAAGGCTTCAGTTAGATTGATGCAGTTCCCCTGGAAGGACCAGAAAATAAAACAGTGTCTTAGTTGCAATCAAATGTAAAGACATCCACATCAGCAAATGCACATACATTTTAAGACTGAATTCTAGGCTGTTATGCACTACAGAAATATAAAAAAGCTCTTTCTTAAAATACAGGGATTCTAATGTAATATGCATGATATTGATTGAACAACTCTTATTTTGTTGCATTTATCTAGAAAATAACAATTTATAATTATTTTGTATTTTTACAACAAACCAGACAGGAGAATGATCCAGCTACCTTTTTACTGGAGTATTCATTTCTTTCCATTTTGACATAGATTAGTGGTGTTTAAACAAGCAGCAGCCTACTACACAATAATAATAGTCTTTGTATTGTTTGTATGCATTAGTAAATGATGAAGAAAACCCTGCCTATTATCATTTAATATCTTAACATACTATATTCTATGAGTCAAGCCATGTGTTAAAGTTTTGTTTTTACAGTTTAATCTATTCATACAAGAAATGATGAAATAAGAGAAATCCAGCAGAGGTATTTCTATTTCTGCCTTACAAAACTGAAACAAGCATTAAAAGACTTTAGTTTTTCCATGTCACGTCACTGAAATACAACTGCTTCCTAAAAAAAGCAGTCATATCTTCTGCAACCAAGTAACCAACAGTTGTTTTTCCCTCCCTCAATAATATCAGCAATATTTTTTTGCTGAACAAAGGAAATAAAACCTAAAAACAGCTATCAAGAAATACCAGCCAAAGTCCAAGCTAAGAATTATATTAACTTCAGGTAACCAAAAAAACCTATCCAGATCAACTAAAAATTCTTGGACTATGGACACCCTTCTATGGGATTAAATTTGAATAATGAAAAAGCCAGTATTTAAGAATTATACTTTTAAATGGCCATTTAATACTGAGGTATGAGTCCCTATGTAAAGAAGACTGTCATGCAACTGCTACTCCACACCTTGTTTGAAAAATGTAAAGGCAAACTCAGTAACGCTAAACATTCAGGAGAACTTTGCATGCATAACTGGAGCCATGGACAGACAGGGCGCACAGGCACTTTGAAGCACTGCAAAAACATACTGCTAAACGTGCAGATACATGGGCCAAGTTACAAAGTTACTATAAAATAGGGCTGTACAAAACGGAAGCGTTCCGTTTCGACCAGCGTTTCGACAGAACAGTGTTTTGTTTCGACTTTTGTTTCAAGTCAAAACGGCTGTTCCATTTCGTTCTGTCAAAACATTTTGCTGTTTTGACATTTTGCCCATAGGCTATAATGGGGACGGTCAAAACAGGCTAGAACTTTGTCATTTCTGGCCAGATTTGGATGAAACTTATATAAATGGTAGCCCCTTCTTGGGGCATGATGCGTGCCAAGTGTCAAGAAGATAGGTGCAGGGGGTTTGGGGAAACTGCACCCCAAAATCTTGAAAGCAAAACTCATGACATGGGTGGCACTGTTTATGTTAGGCTGCAGCAGGGTGAAAGCTGCAGGCCTGCTAGCCCCTGCTGAGGCCACGAAGCCTGCCAAGTTTCAAGGAGATACGTGCAGGGGTTTAGGGAAACTGCACCTCAAGCTGCGGACAAGCAAAACTCATGACATGGGTGGCACTGTTTATGTTAGGCTGCAGCAGGGTGAAAGCTGCAGGCCTGCTAGCCCCTGCTGAGGCCATGAAGCCTGCCAGCTGTCAATGGGCTTCTGGGTTTTGGGGCCCTACACCTCTGGCCACAGGCAGGCAAAACTCGTGTCATGGGTGCTTGTGCAACTGTGTCCGTCTTGGGGCAGAGGTGGGGAGAAACCACTGCAGGCCTAGCTGCTAGGCTCTGCTGTGGCCACAAAGCACTCGGCTTTTAAAAAATAGCCCTCTATTAGGCTTCTTTTAGAACGTACAAAAAGTATAACTGAAAACAAACAGTCCAAAATAGTGAAGCACAAAAGGGAGTTTAATCAATGGCACACATGACATGAGCCTCAAACAAGAGGGGCTCATATTTAATTCACTACATCAATTCCATTTAGTTTCTTCCAAGACTTTTTCCCCCCATGGCCCATATGGTAGCCTCTATTAATGAGTACAGAGCAAGTGCATGCTGTCTGTCTGTTTTGGCTTCAGGAATAAAAAAGGTATGGAACAGTGTTCATTGTTTCCCAGTAGTACTAGGATTTTATCCATTACAATGTATTAGAAATATGAAAAATTTTTAGGAGTTTGGAAGGGAGAGAGAAGAAGAGTTCATTTTACTCCCCCTCCTCCTGCTTTTTTAATTATGCTCCAACTTCCATGTGCACAAGTCATACTTTTCTATAAGATATATACATTTTTCTCTGGAAAAAACGGACTTAGTTTGCTGACATGCCAAAAAAACCCAGCTAGGTAAAACACATTCCTGGGTAAAAACCAAAGCAAAATTTTGTTTATAAATGCAGTCTAGCACTCTTGGTTCAAGTCAGAACACTTCACACTGCACATTTAGTATTTATTTCTGAAAAAGGTAACAGATACCATAAGTATCAGGAAACAGGAAAGGCAACATTTATAAAAAGGTAAGAGAAACACTCTAACTTTGCACAATTGTATAAAGCACCAGACTGAAGAGACTGCTGTAGTACTGGTTTAGTAACCTATTATTATCCAGGGGCCTGCAGTGGTTATTTGGTTCAGCCGCCCTTTACCAAGCATATAATTTTGTTTTGACATCAGATTGAATGTGAGAGTAAAAAAACCAATCTACGTGTGTAATTTAAGATCACAAATAGAAAATTCTGCTAGGTAATTTATGGAACATACCACCATTACGGAGGAAGTTTAATAAGACACACAATGAGATAAAAGTGTCTACAGACTGTTTCCCAGACTGTCATCTCAGGATTCCTTCCCTTCCCCTGTCTTCACAAGTGACAGAGGAATCACGGCAGACAATGGGGCAGACAAATTACAGGAAAGAATAGAACACTTCACTGTGTAATTTCTACATTTTGTTAAACCCACAAATGCCCACTCCCCAAATCAAGATTCACTTTAAAATAGCCAGATACATTCTTTGTAGTTTCTCCCCCCTTTCTGAATGCTCATATAGAGATGTAGGTTATATATAAATTTAATTTAAAAAACAGTTATTGCAGTTTTACATAATAGGCCCAAACTCAAACAGATCGTGCCTATAAGATTTACACGAGTTTCTCCCAATAACAGAAACAAAATACAATTCTCTTCATTATTAACAGCTGGTATTAGACAACTTGGATACTTTGGTTAATGGTTTCAAAAGCCCATACCCCCACAATTTACATTTTGTTGTCAATTTAACATGTAATACATGTGAAATCCCTTAGTCATTTAAGTCAGGGCTGTCCAGCTGGCAGTGGTTAAATTGCAACCTGTAAGGTTGGTTACAGCTACTGGCGCTGCTGTGTTGGGGCAGGTCTGGAACCCAGGGGATGAACACTGTGGCAGAAAGCTATCTCTGTTTCTCCCCAAAAACTCTGCTCTGTGACAACTTGGTTAAGATGGCCCCAGCAGAGAATACACACCTTTACCCTATCTCTTTAGGTAACCTGAGCTGGATATATTCCTGAGGGAGGCGGGAAACCTGCTCCCTCTGCCTACATGACTGGTATCACATACCTGGGTGAGGGGCTTGGTCCCTGGTGGCCTAGGAACTGCCAGTCTGCACGGCAACTAGTGATGTATTTCAAATTGGTTGGCTGACAGCCAACAGGTGCTGGCCTCCATTGGACCAGGTAAATAAGGTCACAAGGGCTATATAGTTAAGGACTGCCCAGGAGGGTGCAGCAGCCACAAGGAAGACTCAGAGAGAGAGAGGAGCTGAACCATCTGAAACTTGCTCTCTCTCAAAACTCATGATCAAGGAACTGCCTGCCTCCAGAGGGAATCTCCACCTGCCTCTGGATGATACTTGGGAGTAAACTACCTGAGATCTAACTAGTTATTTAGCTTGCAGTAACTCAGATGCATAATCAAAGGCTACCCAGCCAGAGGAGTTTGCTCTATGGGATTTCTCTGATATTGCTCTACCCTAGTCCAACCCTACTCCTTGTAACCAATAAAGTTCTCCTTTGTACCTAGCGTGGGAGACTTATTGGGAGTGGGTCTAGATTATGCCTGGGGGTCCCCTTGGTTCAGCTGACTAAGGGAGACCACTACTTGTGCTTCTGACTGAGGGAAGCATTCCAACTTCTTGAAGTGAATCAAGTACCCTCGAGGGCTACTAGGCCTGTGTTTCCCAGGATGCGCAGAGCCAGAATCAAGCCCAGCCCTGGGTGGTGGCAGTGGAACCCCCAGGCTAGCGGGTGTGCTCCAGGAAGGGGGTCGCCCAGACGTGAGGCACCCCCAGGGAGGCACTCGGAGCCTGGAAGGTGGTCGGGCACAGGGAGGTGGGTGGCTCAACGCAGGAGCGCCCCCTACTGGACCGCCACACACAACACCGCCACTCCCCCACCTCCCTTGCCTGCCAAAGTCAGGGGCTTGAGTTGCCACTGGAGATCAAGTCAGCTGCAAGAGAAAAGAGAGGGCAAGCAATAGTGGCTTCACACCATGGGTTTTGGAGCCACACCAGTGCAGTAGCTCCAGCAGCCTTAACAACAAGCTGCCGCGATGCTGCTGGAGGTATGTTGTCCATCCTGTAAGAATCCCTGTAGGCAAGATCCAGTCCATGGGGATCAAATGACAAGCTGGACACCCCAGATTTAAAAATCAATGGGAGAGGGAATCGAGCACAGTGGTGTGATCTTTAGCTGAATGAGGGAAAATTGTTTAACATTTTAGGAATATAAATTTAAGGGAGCAGCCATACAGCCCAACCCTATTGTTCTCCAATATCGGGCAACATTGGACAAAGACCACAGTCGAGGAATCATGTGCATTCTGATCTCATCTTCACAAAATTTAAAGCAGTTAAATGATTCAGAAAGGGAATTATTCCTAACATACAGGGATGTAACTGAGGTCAGAAATCAGAACCCTAATTGTTCCCATTT